TCCGTGGGATACATCCTGAGGTGCTGTCCCAGGGATGATTGTCCCAATTGTCCAATGAACTACTGTCCTGTCCTAGCTACAGTAACACACTTTAAATACAGGGTGTCCATACAATAAAGTTGGCCTTTTTCCCCAAAGAGGTCCGTGTGTGTTGCTGTCCTTTCTCTCTCTTTGCAGCACAGTGGCCACAAATGTTTCTGATTATTTTTTTTAAGGTTATATGGGAGTTTCAGAAAAAAGTTAGGAGTTTTACCACAGAGTTCAGTGAGTTCAGAGTTTCACACTGTGTCTCCAAAATACTCTTTGCAGCACTGAACACATAGGACTGGTTTCTGATCGAGTTTCTGGGCAGGGCTTCACACAAATATTTATTAATATACATTTTGCCAGTGAAAATACGAAAAGAAAGGGAAAATTTATAATTCTCTCTTGTGCTGTTAATTAGAAACATTTTTTTTTTGTGGTTTAAAGAAGTCCAGTATCTTTCTATCCATTTGTGTTGTGTTTTGAAGGTGCTATGAACTAGACATGTGAGAAGGATGTGCCTTGAATAACTCTTGAGCTAAGATGAATCTGAGGGAGGGGGATTGTTTGGGATTCAGCTGCTTTATGTATAACTAGAGCCGCAGTGGGGGCACTGCAGCAGAAATGACATTTTGTTGAGATTGCTGTAGAGAGAGTAGGAATGAAGATCTTCCTCTGCAGTGCTGTGGATGGAGGCAGCTGTGCCAGAAATGAGCAAAGGGACAAGTCAGTGGGAGCACAGCTGTGGCAGCAGAAAGCTTTGCAAGGCAGAGCTAAGGAGAGGGCTGGTGTTCTGCTGGAGGTGCTGGTGCAGCTCAAGTGTTGAACTTGTGCTTCTGTTGATGTCATAACTTTTAGCACCTTAGGGTCCAGTTAAGCTTTTCAATCTCTGAAGCAGGAGTGGAAAGAGGCATTTGAGTGCCTCTGATGCATAATCAAAGTCCAGGCTTTCAGTTGGACTCTGCAGTTCAAACCACTCTCCCTCACATAAACATCTCTCTGGTGAGCTGTTCTGACCATGCCTACCATACTTGGGCTGAAATCTCCATGTGGTACCCACTGACTGTAGATATGCAACGTGAAAAACCCAAATGCTTGGCAGCAGGGTCTTGGCACAAAGATACTGAGTGCTGGTAACTCCCCAGCAGTTTGCTTGACAAACTTTCCAAGAACCAGAAGAAAGTCTTTCATTATAGATAGCACTGCTATGTATCATCAAGTCCTGACAGTGATATTGGAGCAACTCTAAATATAAGGAGGGGAATAGTTACACTATGAGGAGTGTGTTAATTTTGTGAAACTTTTTAGTGGGAACAGTCACATTTAGACTTGGCTGCCCAGCAGGTAGGTGCATCAGCAGTGCTAGCTCTGAAGCAGAAACTGGTTATGAAAAAGTTGATTATTAAGATGGTCCTGAGCAGTTTTTGTGGAACTCTGGGTTTTGGGGTGTTTTTCAGTTTGTAAAACCAAGTTGTTTTTTCCTCAAGACTCATTTTTTTTCCTGAGTACTCTGTTATGCAAACAAGTGTAATGCAAACAAGTGTAGTGACAGGGAATATATGTGCTAAGGAATATAGTGATGGAGGCTGCTGCAGAAGCATGGTCACATTAACTATATTCTTTGTCAAGTTTAGGACTATGAATTTTGCACTATGTGTTTTGTTGCTTAGTCATGAGCATCACTGAGGAGTGCAGTAATGCAAAATTACCTTTATTTGGAAAATTTTCACAGAAGCATTTAATTTAGTTATGAAAAAGTTGATTTGGTGTTGAAGTTTTGTTGCTTTTCTCAAGGATCTGCACTTTTCAGGCAGAAATGTAAGAAAATTCCATTATGTAGTATAATTTATCCTACAGTTTCAGCCAAGGACATGGACAGATAGATCACCACTTCTGCATACAGCTCAAACTTTGTTGATTATTTCCATGCATGTATGGAAATAATAATGTACATGTGTATTATACACATCTTTAATTTTCAAAGCTAAGGGAATAGCAACTCCAAAATCTGATCCGGTTGCAAAGAGTCTCTGATTTTCTCACTAAGGTAGTATGATTGCTCTGTGCCCTCTCATGTGACTAAAACAACAAGAAGAAATCTTCATGAAGTCTAAAACATCTGTCTTGTCTGATAGATGTTGGCTTTGAGCAAATTTGTCTGTGATCAGTTGAAACAGAAGTACTTCTCCATTTCCTTATTACCCAAAGGACTTGGCCTAGCTGTTTTTGAGATGAAGTTTTCTGAGTGTGTTGTATGTATTGTATCATTCTTGCTTTTAATAAATAATGGAGGTTTTAAATAGTGGAAATTTTTTGAAGTTTCTAATAAGAGCTGTATATTTTATATTGACTTGGCCTTCTGACAAAAACACAGCCAGGGTGCAGGCCTAAGGTGAGTGCTCCTGTTGGCCAGTGCAAGAGGATTGTTACTGGCTCTTTATTCTTGGTGTTTTTAGCACATAAACTATATTATAGTAATTTCATCAACATCTAGGATCAAAGGAAATCAGTTATTATTGAGCATGAAGTATGTTGTATGCACTTGATGCCATTTGAAGCTGAGAAAAAAATCAGCATAATATTTGAACTCATATTTGCAAGACCAGAACTTCAAAAGATATAACTGGACTGCTTTACTAAACTGAGATTACAGTATTTTTATCGTTTTGTAAGAAAACATAAGCCCAGAACAAGGTAATTACATTTAATAGTTTAAACGGATTATTCATTAGCAGTGATTACAGCTGAAAAGCCATAAGAATTAATTAAAGCTTTTTAATTGTCATTAATTCAATAGTGGTTCTAAACAGCCTTTCCTTTTTACTTTCACCTCTCCATTTCTAGACAGAACAACAAAGCAGAAGTCTTGTAAAATAAATAATTTCTCTTATTTTCAGGTAACAGAATTGCTTTGGCTCTACAGCTGAAAGAGCAAAGCAATTTTCTGTAGCTAAGAACATGACTGGAATTTAAGGTCTCTGTCCTCCCATTAGAATTGAGAGCACTACCACCCTGCAGTTTGCAAAAGTGAGGTATTTTAATTTTTAGAGGCAGAAGATTGAGAGAAATGTGGTAGTCCGTGGTACTTAGTATCTTCTTTATGAAATGTGTAAATACCACTGTGTCTCCTGCAGGAGAGGCCAGGCGGGGCCAGAGGTGGCTGCAGAGAGCAGAAGGTGGCACTGCCTGACTTTGCTGCAGGCAGGGCTGGCACTGCCCAGCTGCTGGCCAGGAGAGGAGCTCATTCTTTAAAGCAGCCTGGGTTTAGTACAAATATGGATTTACTCGGTTTTCCAACAAGTTTTTATCAAGCTTAACAAAGAGGAGGACAGGGATGTCCTCAGTGCTCCCAGAGATGTGTGTGGGGTTTGATGTCTGTCACTGTGGGCGTGTAGACACGTTTGGCATTTCAGAATCTGGTGTATTCTGCTTGTGAGCAACTGCTGCCAGTTAGTGTGAGAGCACAGCCAGCTGTTTGCTAGCTTTTTTGCCAGATCTTAAGTAGTGAAAAAAGGTCTTCTTGCTGTCCTTTGGGTGTGTCTGACCAGAGACCGGGGCCTGACTTTGACTTCATAATGATGGTGAACTTTTCAAGGTGAAATAATTAAAATAAAGAAGAAAATATTTTCAAGAAAAACCAACCAACGAAACCAAAAGCCCCAAAGCAAGCACAAAACCAGAACCAACCAAACAAAAAGCCACCCTACTTTCTATTTTGGAAAGTATTTTCAAAAGTAATAGGTACCTAGTTTTCAATTTGGTCTCTAGCTTTCATCTAGTTAGTTTATTGGATGAATCTCCACTTACTTTACTGGTAAACTAATGGTTATTTGCCACTATATAAGAATCATGCAATGAACTATATATAGTGACTCTTCTCTATCTCAAATATCTTTTTACATTCTCTAGCAGGATACAGAATTAATTCTGAATTATCTTTGTGCTCATTTCTGATTGCCACCACTCGAACTGATGATTGTGTTCATGTTTGGTTCCTCTATACTTCTTTTAGAAAGAGCTGTGATTGTCAGGGAACCTGTCACCAGTATGGTGGGACATGAGCTTTGCTGCTCAGTCTTTGGTCATCTCTTCATTACACACTAAAGATTTCTTCCTATAACATGGGATGCACTATCAAACTAAATCCTGTCTGCTTGAACAGCTTATTAGGTGCCACAAAACCACTACAATATTAATTGCAAGTCTGTATATGCTAAAAAATGACAGGCTGTTCTGTTGTGTGTTTGCTTATGGTTTTATCCAACAGTCAACCTTTTCTAGAAGGGCAGTAGTGGGAAAGGAGGAGATGGGCAGGAGGGGCTTCCAGCAACTACAAACTGGTTTATTCAAAGCCACCTGTAACAGCTTGCCTCACTTCCATGATGTCCACTTTGCTCAGATCATTTACCCTGTGTATCCTTTTAGTCTCTGAACACAGGCATTTTCTTTCCCTAGTGTATGTTAAAATTTCTTTTGGAATTCCTAACATAAAATAATGTAGTGCTTGCTTGTGTTTCTGGACTTATTCCTCCTGGTTTTTGTTTGTTTACTTTTATTTGTTTTACAGGCTAGATTTATGCCCTTAACAGAATCAGCAGATGAGGTTTTATACTCTAAGCCAGCTTTGTAGACTGCCATCTAGAAACCAGAAATCAGAGTTTGCTTTGCAATTCTTTTTATCTACTTGTTCTCCAGCTCTCAGCTTAGTGGTTTGACCTTTTGCATAAGCTATTTTTCATCAGCATTTGCCAAGGTTTTCTTTTTAGCAATGCTTTGCAAGCATAGAGCACAAATGTTAACTATTTTGTATTTTATTTTCTCTGTGCTCTGTTGACTGACTTTTGTGGAAGTAGATTAGACTATAATCTTGAGTCAAGAGGTGTGAATGCTAAAAGTCATGATATATATAAAAATTACATTTGATTCATTGTTTCAAATTCCAGGAAGTATTCACATATTTCTTTGTTTTTCTGTAGGTCACATTACATTTGAATCCAATTTCATCGGTGCATATTCACCAGAAGCCTCTGGTGTTTCTTCTCAACTCTCCTTTGCCTTTGGTCTGGAAGCTAAAAACAGAAAGATTGGCACCTGGAATCCGAAGAGTTTTCTTTGTAAGTGTACACTGTCCTCTGACCTGCTCTCTGGCATAGCTGCTTGTTGCATACAGCGTGGACTTAATGGCATTCATTTGGAAATTTTTCAAACTTAGATTAAAAAAAAAAAGTTAAGAGGGGGTCAACTTTCATTGTAGGGCTCTGGGGAACAGTTAGGTGGTAGGGCAAAGCAGTTTGGAAAAAGTAGCCAATTACTTGTTATGTGAATTTAAGGAAAGGAAAGCAAAACTGCTTTTCAGAATCTGCACATCATATGATTATTAATGCTAGCAGTCATTAGAGTTCAAAAAGCTGTGAGGTTATACCAGATTGCCTGTCGTGATTGGAAGTCTAACAGTACCATAAAGCAAAAAGCCTCAGAGCAATTTGAAATATTAACAATGGATGCTAATTGTGTTGTCTGTAACCATAACAAATATTTGTATGTATTGAGCTCAGTATGTCTAGTTATGGTTTGTCTGTGATGAAGCTTTGTCCTATTGAAATGACCAAGCTAAGCCCAGAATGAAGTCATTTTTGTTTCTCAGAAAGACTGGAGCACTGCTTATAATGCAAGATCCAAATATTACCTAGTATTTGTAAATCATGTCCTTACAGTTTGCCAAGACCTTCAAGTTTTCTATTTGTAGTGAAACAGACGAGTTGTTTGGATTAAATTTTTAATGTGTGACATCATGTCTAATCATGAGTCGTCTTTATGAAAGTTGCAGCTTTCACTGTATTCAACTCTAATTGCAGAACTAAACTTGATTATTTTTAGCGATATCCTTATAGGGCTTAATTTTGCTCTTCCAGCACAGCTGACAGTGGCAAGCAAGATGGTTTCTGCAGCACCCAGTGGGAACTTAGTTGTGTGCTGTGCATCACCAGGACAGGAAGATGCACAGTGGTGCAGCATTAGCACACTGAGAAGGGACACTTCTCTCTCAGTTGACCTGATGTGGTGATGACATGGTTAAGTGCACCAAGAGTTCTGTCACTTGCTGGACACTGCAACCTTTCTGGAATTGCTTTTCTTTTTCCTGTCATCAAGGTATAAGAGTAGGAGTAGCCTTGATATTTTGAACTTTGAAGGACTCAGTCCTGTTTCCAGTACAATGTATTATTGATTGGTGCAAAGAATATGGGCTCATTTTTATTCTAAGGTATTCACAATCTTAGGTTTTTCATTGATGTTTTGGAGACTTGTGACTGTTAGCTTCCTGGTGACCATTCCTGTTACGTGACCTTAATGCAACCAGTACAGTTCTGTTCTGCTCAGAACATGGCTGAGGTACAACATGTAGAACAACAGTGTAACAAGTCCTCATTCCTCTCATGGACAAAAGAAGCAGGATATTTCATCAGATAATAAAGCCTTGGACCTACTTTTAGTTTTGTTTTGATCTTCTCCTGCAATGCACTCCCGTTTTCTATCAACTAGATTTTGTTCAGCTAGTTTGTGTTCTTCCTCTGCACCCAGGATTTTGCCTCTCCCCTTGTCTTGCTCTGGAAGTGGAGAGATGGTCTGCTGAGACCCATCCATTTCTGCTCAGCTGATTGTGCTGGTGTTGAGATGGTGATCTGGTGAGCTTGCTTGGATTGTCTCAGTGAGGTTTCTGTGGCCTGCATTAGGGCATAGGAACAATAGGAATGTGCCTAAGGCTCTGACTGCCAAAACCGTGCCTTTAGATAAGTGTTTGCTGCAGGAAACGATTTCAGGTGCTTCTGGTTACAAACTCGGGCTTGAAGAGGTGAGCAGCAGCAGTCATGATTCTTGCCAAACAAGATGTTGCCTGACCTCAAGAACTGTCACTAAACTTGGCCACTGATGCTGCAGGGAGGAGGGGACTGTTTCTCAGGTGGGGCAGGAATATCTGGAAGGCACTACAGATTTGCTGCTGTGTTGGGAGGACTCAAATCAAATAGCTCCTCTCAAAACTCTCTCTCTTAATCTCTGCTGGTCGTGGTAAGGGCTGAATGTTGTGGTGCCTTGTGCCATCCTGCTAGCCTGTGGTGCTGAGATAATGCTGCTGCCCATGGGAGCTTTCCTTTTTGTTGCAAGGGACTGAACTTTCTCTCAGTGTTAACCCATCCCTAATCCATCTGAATAGCTCTCCATAACAATTTTGGATCTCCTTAAGTGTCATATGAATTTATGTATTTTTCCTTCTACCATGTTAAGGTTTCTATTTTTCTTTCCTACCAAGAGCTCAAAGAATGAGATTGCAGAATGCCAGGGTACTGATCCACCATTACCTCTCCCAGTTCAGTTTCTGTCATCCCTCTCATTTTTGAAGTTCACTTTGTTCTTTCCCTAAGGTATATTTTTGCTGTAAACATAAGCTAACTTCAGTCTCTTATCATGAATTCATCAGCCTTCCCCCTTTTCATGGCCCAGTTTCTCAGTAGCTAGGGTATCTTGAGATAATAAGTCATGAGATTGTGGGCTGAACAACTTTAAATGTGGTCATCATCTGTTGCTTTTCCATAATTCCACTCTGCTCACAAGGACAAATACCTTCTTTTCCCAAAAGCTTTCTGAAAAAACAGCACGGAATGATGTGGCACAGAAAACATGAAAAATGTGGAGGAAGTCCTAGCAGCACCTGTAGGCAAGTGCAGTATGCCAAATAGAGATCAAGGGGCTCTAGTTTTGCCTAGAGCTGTTTGCCTGTGTTGAATTGTGCTCATTTGTAACCCCTGTGACAGTCTCTGTCCTAGGAAAGGTTGTCCCTTTCCAGAATCAGGGGTTCTGGCTTTAGGTGAGTTATGGGGCAAAGGGACATAGTGCTTCTGCCCTAGCTGCTGAGAGGTTCCCTGTCTCTGTGCCAGAGCCTTCAGTGAGTTCCAGACAACTGACCCTAGGACTGTAAATAGCAGCTCCAAGGGCTGCAGAGAGCAGAACCTGCTTCCTTAGCCCTTGTTTAAAAATACTTAGCTCTGTAGCTCTGACTTGTTCAGTCTCCTTAAACATATAGCCAAAACAGAAAATCGAGTATTTTGAGTCATAAAAGATTTTGAATATGAAAAAAAATTCTAGTGCCCATGAGTTCTATGCTGAAAACAGAAATCCATGGCACACATACCAGAGGAGTGTCATAACTATTGTGTCTGTCTCTATGGAAGCTGCAGGCAATATATTCATTGACTTTTCAGCTTTTCCTTCAGACTTTCCCAACAATACATTCATTCACAATTATATTAATATATTGTATGTACAGTATGAATTGCAATGACTTTCGTTGATTGACTCCTAGTTAGAATGGTAAGTAGTGTAAAGAGGTTTAAATGGCAACTTCTGGGACTTGCTGCTGATAAAGACCACATTGCTAGAGCCAGGTCAAAGTTTGTAGTGAAAGGATCATGTAACCATCAGTCAAGTCCTAGCTCTTTATTTCTTTTTAATATTAGCTTTTTTCTCCTTGTAAAGTATCATCATAAAGTTCTCAAACTGTTAAAGGGAGATGTGCTTCGAGTAGGTAAATAACCAAATAAAAATTAAAATTTAATTGTATTATAAGTTTCAAGGTTATTTCTAACAAAGGTATCTTCAGGATATGAATAGATGATGAAGTGGAGCACAAGTGCTGTTAGTAGCATTTTACAGGTGGAGAAACCAAGGCACACTGAGCTTGAATGGTGTGTGCTGGAGAAGAGAGTGGAGTTAGGGCTGTGTGTTCTCAGTGTCCTCATTAGCAAAATGGTCTGTTTCCTTCATTCTGTGGATTTGTTTGAGTTTCCATTAAAGCTGAGCTGCCCCAGGGAAAGATGGAAAGATTTAAAGCTTGTATCAGTGCATAAAAGACTGGGAAAATGCAATATTATTGAGTAGGGCTGGAGTTTAATTTCTTATCACGCAGTTTGAGCATGGATTTTTGCCTTTGGCCTGGTCCTCCATCAGTTAAGAAGTTTAAAATGAATGTGGGGGAAAATCCAGGCTTTGGATGCTTGGTTATAATGTCGGGGGAAGCACAGATTACCTTCTTGATAAACATTTTTTAGTATAAACATGCAGATTTGGTGTGTACATGTGGTTTTGCACTTATTTTTATCATGTAATGCACATGGTTTCACTCGGTGACTTCTCATGTGCTTTATCTTCATGGAAACATCTTATGGTTTCATTTTCACAAAATGTCTTCTGGTGGCTAAACTTCACAGTGGAATAAATTATCATTAAAATTAAGTAGCATGCCCCAAACAAACCAAAGTTTGTGTTGGGTTAGCATCAGGATTTTTTCAATGTCATGTTTGGAAGAGTTTTTTTCCAAAGTGGCACTGAATGGAAGTGATTGTCACAGAGTGACAGTACTTTGGAGGAAACCATCATGACAGGGCATGGCTGCTAAGTGTAGTTGTTCTTCACTATTCTGTTTCCTGTGTTGTCATTTTGCTTCTTGGGGTGCTTTCCCCATTTATAAATCAGAAAGAACACTAGTGAGTAGTCTTAAGAGAAAATTTGAGCATCTTGATATAAACCTGACCAAAATTTTCTTTGTATGCATGAGAAAGAGCAAAGGATATGTGGTGTTAACAATACATTTAGCATGGGCAGAGTTATTTTCTGACTCTGCATGAGTTGCTGTATATTGATGGGTGAAGTAGGTGATGCGGTGAAATTATTGTAATTTTAGTAAAATAAGGCTTGAGTTTATTTTCATTGTGTTAAAAATAAATGTACCTTAGTATCATGGCATTTCAGTCCAAAAATACCTGAAATGGGTTAGTGCATGGACTGCCAGACCTAAGTGATAGTAAATCGTCTCTTTAGTTACTGATGCACGTAGTCGTGTTAGTCTGAATGTATATTTGTACATGTCACACAGGTACAACAGTTTGGGAACTGGGCACTTTCTGTTCAAGTGTTGGTGGGCTCATCACTCTGAGGAGTATCACATGGGTGGGTGCCTCTGTTCAGTTCAGCAAGGGGAATGCTTGGCATCTGTGCTACATTTTATTTTTTTTCAAAATGGCATTGTAAAGGGGATGGGAGACCAAGCTGAAGGACATCTCCA